CCCATTGAGCGAAATATGTATCTTCTGTGTCGTGGGTTACAGATCATCATTGGGACATTTCATTGTTTTATAAACCACCAGATCAAGTGTTTCTCTGTACAGGTTCAGGTGTCTGGGTGACAACGAATAAGAAAGTTCCCATGAGAACTGCACACTCAGTTGACAGACATTCACTGAAAGAGGCATGGGGTGATATCAGCAATGTACCTAACTTTCATCACAGCTATAGGTAGAAAACCAGATTTTAACAAAATATAAAATAGAGAGTGCTTTTCTCTAAAGAAAGGATTAGTAATTGCCTTCCTTTAAATAGCTATCATTTGAAACGGATTTTTCCCGATTTTATTTACATGAAATCTTTCTCAAACAAAAGATTTAAATAAGAGGAGACTGGTAAATAATTTCTTTTTAAATCCTAGATTCAAAACACTGAGGTGGTCCTGCAACAAAAGAACCTCATCAACTTTTGCTTTTAATAGATGGTTTTGCCAGAATGTTGTATTTATCCTCATTTCTCATATTTTGTATTAATATCACTCGAGTTCCATTTCCTATAAGCCTGCAGTAGAATTCATTTTTCCAGTTGAAATGCAAACAAACCAAGAAGCAAACTTGGCAATGGAATATGGGCCCCTCACCATACAGACTGCTTCATAAGCAAGAACTATTAGAACGGAGCAGGTCCAAGGTTAATGAAACACTCATTAAAGAGAGAGAATTGTAGAAGCTGCTAGTGCTCTGTGCCTGTATTAAAGAAGAGGCTATTGTTACAGGATGTTTGCTGTGCTGATACGGTAAGCGGCATGACAGATGGGTCAAGTGCTGATTACGGTATTCTAACATTTGGAATAGCAAGTAACATATTTGATAAGCTGGCAAGTTTTTATATATGATTCAACCCACAATATAAAAGCCATGAGAATTCCAACTTGAAAATAATTAAATGAGCTGGAAACAATCAGATACCACACATTTTTTTCCCCCAAATGACAGATTTTGACATGTTGAAATTCCACAAAGGGAGCAAGAATATTCCCTAGCTCACTTGAACTAATATTCGCCTTTCATCTGCTTTTGCAAAGCAATTAATCCCTGCCTTCTCACAATGCTGAAGATATAATAAACATTTGCAGGCACCTTCAGCTCCACAGAGAACTGTCCCCTGCATTGTTTTATTTGCCCTTATCAGCAACCCTTCAAGGTACACAAAAAAATATACTAATATTTTCAATTTATAGATGAGGAAACTGGCACAAAAAGGTTTAAGTAGAGGGTACAAGGTTACCTAGAAAGTTAAGTAACATATCGAGGATGAGAAGCCAGATCCTTCAACCTGAATACATCAAGTCCTATTTCTGGTCATCTGGAAGGAGGAAGCAGCTATTCACATATGGGTGTTCTTAATTGTACAAAAGTGTATCTTCTTTTGGCCAATGACGCCGCCACCATCATTCATGGGTACCCATCTGGATAAAGGCGTCCGATATTTGCGCCAGCCTCTCAGTGTCTCGGTAGCGTGGTGCTGGTGACACTGGTAAGAGTCCCGTCTCTTGTCCAACAGCGTCACACCTCTGTAATGTCACAGTTACACCAAGAAAACAGCAGCTCTCCATTTGTGTTTCATCATTTTTGCTTGTTTGATTGTTCTTTTCAGAGTTTGTCATCTTACTTGTCACGTGAAAGTCACTTTGTCTCTTTATTTTTTTTTACCGTCTCTCTTCACCTACCTGAGCAGCTCCCCCGCCACCTCCTGGGCCTCCTCCACCCTCCCAAACGCAGACCAGCATGTTATATCAGAGGCTCAAAGGCATGCGTAGGCCAAAATCAAGTACTGTAAACTTCTACCATTCCTTTACTCGGCAGCTTTCTAGTTTAGTTTGCCTTTCTGTTCATTTTTCTTCCTGAAAATGTATTTCAGTTTGGAATACTAAGCTGAGGCTCAGGCTCTCGATTTTGACACTGTAGGTTTTGAGAGACTCAAAAGAGAGCGTTTATTTCCAAATGTCCACATTTTTTTGTCTAGCTATGTCTGACATATGCAACATTTTCAAATCTCAATGTCAGCACAAAATAACATTGTTGTTGCATAACATTCTGCATGACAGTTTTTTTTATGTTATGAGCTTTGATTCTGTTGTATGAAATGTTTACTAAGTATATTGTATTTTTAGTGGCCCCTTGTCAGTGCTCCAGCTAGTGCAAGATTGGGTGGCAGGAATGTTGTGATATATTTCAAGACAGCCTAAGTGACAAAAAAAAAGAATTTACTTCTAAGCACAAATTTCCCCTTGACCTCTGTTTGGGGTAGGCATGAGGTGCTAGAGGATTTTGCACAATATTTTCTTTAAAGACAACATCTCAGTGAAGTTGCTCTTAGTACCATTTTTGCCATTTAGCTAGTAAGTGGCTATACAAATAAAGAGGAAAATAGTGTTGTGTCTCAATAAAGTGGCTTGATCTACAGATAGTGGAATTGCAGCTAATTAATAGTAAATGAAAGTCTGACTACACGAGTTAATTGGAAGATCAAGCATTCTAGATTAAATGATCCTTAACCTGCTTATTTTAATGCTTGCATGTTAAAGTTGCTAAAGCTTTTGTTAAACATACTGTCTGTATATATACGTCAGGCATACACATATTTGTGTACATGTGCACATACTCATAGAATGGCTGCGTGCACATATACACTTTATGTGTATCTATGGATATATATTGTAGTAATTCAAAGAGTACTGCATATTAAAATAAATCTCCAGGTGGTCCTAGCTTAAGCATTTTGAATTTCTCCAAACATAAAAATCATTCACAGTTTCTGGATAAAAGAATATGAAATAGTGGTGGGAGTCATTTCATATCTATATCATAAGTCATGTCCAGCTAGAAATCCCCTAGATTTGGTAAGTCTTCTACCCAAACTGACAGTGCTTTCTCTTTTTAAAGCAAGAGATTTCAAAGATGTGCCCCAAGTGGGATTTCCTGCAGATTTGTATTAATGTGCAGGCTTGTCTGGTTACTAGATAATGTATGTAAGTGTGTGATATGAGTATGTGGGTGTATGTGTCGAATGGGTAATAAGAATAGGATGAGGAATTTGCAGATTGATGTGTAAATGTGAATATCAACTAATAAAAAATAGTAGCCTATGCATATTTACTATCAAAATGCAAGTACCTCATTCTACACATATTACTCAAACATATATACACAGTATGTTTGTAGAAATGCCTGAAAGTCTACTAATGAAATTATGACAGTCCATTATAATCAGATGCCCCAAAAGCACAGCAATCAATGTTGTCACTCATTCTTTCTCTAAGTATTTATTGCTCTGGACCAGGTGATGAACTGTCAGCCCCTAAACTCCATACATCTCCTTAGTCTGAGTGTCAGATATTCTCTGCCTGATATGCATATTATCTCCCACTTTCGTGCCTTAACCATGCCCAGCCACAGGTCCATGTGAGCATGGCAGAGTTCATGGAGTGTTCCACTAGCCTAAATTCACAAAACTCATTTTCACATCAGTTGCCAGGCCTTGTGGGACTGAAATTTTCAATACCTCGATAATCTTACTCCATCCCATCCATCACTCTTAGCTCCTATGGGCCGAATCATTCTTTTTGCATAGTGTTCCACAGAATTCCTTTTCATTATTAAATCCTAAATTACTAATCATCTGCTATGTGCATGGCCTATCTAACAAATAAGTGCACAAAGGGAAAATTAGAAGGCATTTTTGGTAGATTTTAATAATTGTTTTAAAAACACATTTTTAAAATGTTTTATAAATTAGCAATCACCTATGATTTTGTTTAAGCCACCCCCCAAAACAACAAATGCAACAATAAAACCTGCCTGCATAGTATTGAGTGATTTTCTCTGATAAGAAATACCTTGAAGCCAAGACATGTCTGCTTCAAATGAAGAGATGAAAACAGGTTTCTGCAATTCTTTTGTGCAAATACATCCCTACCTGTGAAATCACTTTGAACAATCCTGCCTGCCTTTATGCTCCATGTGCCCCAAATGACTCTCCAAGTGAGGCTTTGAGGTTTGAAGGCATCTAAGCATGAAATATAAAATCCCCTGTGAGTTCCGACTTGTTGAATTCAGACAATTTCATTGGATAAGAAAACCTTCATATTTCAAATATTACTTTTTTACCCCAGGAAATTTTGGTAACATAATGACATTGCCAAACATTCATGAATCCAGAAATGAGGTTTCAGTCTGTTCTCGAGTCAGATAAAAACACAACTCTTTTCAGCGCAATACAAACTAAAAGGAAAAATATGAGTACATTTTTGCCACCTAACTGATAAAACTTCAGCTGTACAGACCGGTGGCACACTTTACCATCACACCAGAAATGTACCCCTAAAACCCTATTAATAATGCTCTCCTGCCTTCTACCTAATGGCCCAGGAATGTCTACTAAATTTCAGTCTCCTCCCCGCACAATTTAAAACAGCCTGACCTTCGACTCTGCATTTTAAAAATAAACATTCCAATACCTGTTAAACATGCAGACCTGTAATGAAAAACAACGCTGCAGTATCAAATGTTCTAGGAACAAATCCAGGAAACAAATGTAACAGAAATCAAGATTAAGCTTCTGTTACATCATCCCGCTTCGGCTAGCACGAACACGGACGGTCTAGAGAGTGATGTAAGATAGTACATTTATGCTGTCTTTAAAGAACATGTGTACAAAATGTCACTAAATTTGAAATGCGCTGTCATAGACTTACTATAGTTGAATATGCAAATTTGAAGCTGGAGCACTGCTTTTTCTGAAAGTTTATTATAATGACAATGGCGAGAATAACAATAAAATGGCTTCATGGTTTGCAGAATACTAATTACATGGCACTTAATTTGCATGAAACTTTCTTAAAAATTGGTAACTATTCAAAATTTCTTATCCACTAGTTCTAATGGCCACAAAACTAGCCTGATGCTTTCGCTGAATCTTAACACAAGTTCTTGTACTACAGAAAATGTAGGCCGGTTAATCACTCCTGCCAAAAAGCTCGAAGACACAATACGTCTTGCCGAACTAGTGATTGAAGTTCTTCAACAGAACGAGGAGCACCACGCAGAGGTGAGCTAGCGCGGTGGGAAATGTCCCTCCGCATTTCTTAACTGAGGTTGCAGAACGGATTCTACTGGCGATTTTGTGACTAAGATGCCTTCACACTCATTTTAGTTTAACTGGCCTTGCAAAGTGAATGGAAGTGCAAGTTTTGCAAGGGGAAGACTTGGGACGGTTGTTTCAAACAACCGAAAAGCAGTTGCGTGTTGTATGTTTCAACTTAAAGTTTTCAGATGTTTCTAGCCGTGAGCAAAAGAGGTGAGTATATTTTTAAAAATAATTATTCAAGCAGCACATGTTCAGGGCACATGAAATACTTTTTCGGTCTTTTGTGGTTGTTTTTGTTGCCTCCAATGTTGTTTTTTATTTTTTTTATATGGTGTTTGGATCGCAGGCCATGTTTTTGAATTTATCTTTGTAACTTACTCTGCTTGCACTAGTCTTCATTTGTTAACTTTCAAGGACCTGGGTTACTAAATACAGTAACAGAAACACATTAGTCTGTGTTGTTCAACTTGTCAATTCCCCAACATACAAGTAAATACAGCTTACTTTTTTCTTTTTTTTTTTTACAAACCACTGTCAAAATTACTGTTTTGATAATAATTATAAACAGGGGATTTCGAGGCTAACTAATTCCCAAACATTAAGTAAGGACTTAAACAGCCCAACCCCTCCAAGAAAAGAGCCCAACATTCCATTAAGGCCAAACTATTGTATCACTACTTGTTTCAGAACTAAGATTTAAAATCCTGTCTCTTAAAAAAACATTTTTGAAAATTGCACTAATTCTCACTCTCCCTCTCCATTCAAATCTACAGCAAAAGGGGAGAAAAGGCATTCCATAAAAGTAATTTCTCAAGCATCTAAAATGGTCTATTCCCATGATAAATGAAAATTGCCAGTATAGTTGAATAATAAATAATACACCATACATCCAGTCATCCCGACTAATGCCTGATTGCATATTTAAATTTCCTCCCTGTTTTTCTACTGTTTCACTCAATCTTGGCTGATCGTGGCAGGGGAAAGAGGTATGTGTACAAACCGAATGAGCCCGCCACCTGCTGTCATAGTCTGTGCATGCCCTTCAGTACCATGTCTCCTCCTGGGACGTCCCTGGGTGCTCCTGCTTTCTAACACTGACCCGAGGAATGTAACAGCAACTTCCAGGGGACTGCTTGTGAAACGGGTGGCCCTCCACGGCAGAGTAAATGTGGGGTGATTCTCTTGTGCGTGCATGAAGCAATTGATAATACTTAACAACAACTGCAGTTACATCCCGACACACACCTCCTACCTGCCTTGATTCTGTCCTTAGCCTGTCGTAGTTTCCCATGTCCGTCTGTATTTACCTTTATTATATAGAGCACATTAGTACCGAACGTAGTAACCAGTAGCTAGAGTGATACTAATCTTCCTCTACAACTGTCTGTATGTGAGTCGTATATACAGTATTTATATATAGAGAGAGTGCCAAAGAGTCATTATTTCCCCCTAAAATCCTCTTTAGAATGGAGTAAAGACCCCTGAGGCAGGTAACTCCTGCAGCGCCCAGCCGTGCACAGCCAGGAGTGAGAAAAAGGGCCAGATCAACACCCTCCAAGCACAGAAACCCAAGACTAACCTACAGATACATAAAATTAAATGGGGCTAGATGTTTTCATGTCTATTCTATATGACATTCTTTTCAGATTGGGATGTTCAAGTGATGGTAAGTATGGTGTTTCTGGGTGTCCTCAAAATCATCTCCAGAGGTGGGAAGGGGTTCTGGTCCACTCTCCCGTGAGGTGGAGATTAAGACCTTTCTCATAATTCCAAACCAGATCTACCCATTTTTTTTAAGACATGGGTACAAAGAGGACTGTCTTCCTTAGTCGCGGTTGTGCTTTTAAGTGACTGGTAGAAGAAGAAAAATAGCAGATACACTTGATTTATAATGAGCTTATTTCCTGAGGCTGCTACAGAGTAAGGAAGGATGAATATTTACCTAAATTACTCAGAAGAGGTACCAAAGGAAAGGTGATATTCTAAAGAAGACATTTTTTTTTTTTACTTTTCCAAAAAGCACTTTTTCCACTAAGTGCTAATTGATCACCATCTTAAACTGCCCTAATAACCATCATTATAAAAATACTTTAATGTTACATATTCAAAAGCTAGAGTAAATAAATAGGGTAGGAATAGATTCTATTCTGTTTTCACATACTAACTTCAGAAGTTAGGAATGAGCACTTCAGCGAACTTTGGAATTTGTAGACGCAAGTTGTTTTTCGACAAATGTACAGGATTATTTCCTGATTTAGTAATTTCACACAATCATGAAATCTCAGTATTCAATCAATCAAAAGCTATCCATCCGCTGATCCCTGAAGCAACTACTTCAGTGCTTTCTTGGAGGGTAAAGAGGAAGAATAGAGAGAGCAGAGTAGAATAGAGTAGAATATTCAACCAATAGAACACGGAATGGCCAGGAGCCCAGGCTGGGTGCTAGAGAAGCTTGAGTTGAATTCCAACTTGGCTTCTTTGTCACTCTGTGATCTTGACCTTGTTACTTAACCTCTGTTATCTTGTAAATAAGAGATAATAATAGACTCTACCTCAGATGGATGTTGGTAGGACTGAAAGGCCACATTAAGTAGAGCATCTGGTATGATGCCTGGCACGTAATGAGCTCAACAAAGCCTAGCTGTGGTATTATTAGGAGCAAATTTCTAAGGGAAAAAAATATTTTAATATATGACCACAAATATTTTCACAGACAGAATATGTGAAAAGGACAGTGGGTATGTTTCTTACAGATTGCAATTACTTAGAAACTTTAAAATTTACTAATGCCTAGGCCTCACCCCAGCTCGATTTTTTGGAATCTCATGGGAGGGGCCAAGAATTGGCCATTTTTTAAACTTCCCAGTTGATTCCAGGGTATAACCAGGTCAAGAGCCACTGCACTATAGCCAAAGAAGTAGAATTTACCCTGGCACACTAAAGGTCAAGTTTGCTGCCCAAAAGGATGAAAAGTACGAGAAGTTTTCTTCTATGGACAAGTACTCACTGTATATTCTCTGGGTGCTAAATAAACTCTAGAAAATGACTAAATCCTGAGCATAGGTCTTGGCTGTAAGACCATGCAGCTTGGTGGCACCACACCAATGAAAGTTACGGGTAGACTTGCCCCCTCTGCCAAAAAGCAATGATCTGTTCATTCATTTTTAATTCCCATGTAAAGTAACTCAGTGTCCCAAGAGAAAAAATCCCCATCAGCTAGACTACATGCACACACATGCAGGATCCCTTAGCAGTTGTCACATTTATCTCTGAATTGCAGCTTAATTCTGCTCTCAGAGCCCCTTATTCACACACACACACACACATACACACAAATACACACAAATTACACCTTCATGTATTGTTGCCTTACCTTCTCAATCTCTCTCTCTATGTATACGTATGTATATGTATATATGTATTGTGGTATTTTTAGAGGGGTACATATATACATGTAGCTTGTGTATAGAATATACAGTGTGTTTAGTGTGGTTGACTGTACCCCTAAAGTACACATCTTTTCCTTTAAATAACGAAAAGCACTGGGTAAGTATTTAGAAGCCACAGCACAGAATCTCTTTTTCCTTCTCAGAGAGCCAGGTCTGACTATGAAGTTCTGAAAGAATTAACCTCGGGTGTGCAGAAACAGATTTGGTCTTCAGTGTTCCTGTAACCTTCAAAGTTAAATTATCTTCATCACTAGAATTCTAAATTCCTCAGCCAGACTGCAGTATGATCATTCCTATCACAGTAGTCATTGTTCTTTGTAGGACTACCTACCCACATGATTATTAAGGCAACCACTATAGAAAACTGCTCAATAATTTATTAAATTTCAGGGAGGGACTAAGTTTTTATATGTAATAGAAGTGGGTGCTTCTTATGGCCTCTGGTTTGCAACTTTTTAATAAAGCTGGTAAGAAATGGTTATGAGATTGGGCTAAGAAATTTTTTATTCCAGGCATTTAAGGTTGATTTTTGTTTTGTTTTCCTGTCATCCTAGAGCAAAATTGTGTCTGGGAAGGCAATTCAATCACCCCAATAACTGTTTTCTTTGACTCACCCGGAAGATATAAAATTAATCAAAAATTAAAGAATAAATATCAGCCAACATTTGGGATGCCTTTGTGAATTTTGCGAACACCTTGTATCAGGCTTGATGAGAGTCGTGCCTCCATATAGGACTGAGGGTGGGAATGGGACTTCAGCAAGTTCCGATATGTAGAAGGCCTCTCCCTGAAGGGGCAGTTGGCTGGGAGAGCTGCGAGGGTGGGTAGAGAATTTCTACCTCCCTTGGATTATCTAGACAGTCAGTGGAGCAAGCCCCAAGCCCCAGGCCTCTCATGCCCAGGTGGTAAAACTACAATAAAACCTCATCAATTCAGACCCAAATGCTAATAATAATTCAGATGCAGATAAGGCTCTTTTAGGTTTTCTTAATTTATTTTGATTAAGTTTGATATGATCTTAACTTTCCCTGGAAATTCTGAAGGCTCTTCTTATAAATGTAATACCAGGATTTGAAATTAAAGCTTCTGTGCCTTTGACTTCACTTTATAGGTCAATGTATCTACAAATACTGGAAGTTTAAAAAAACTTTTGCATTCATGATACATTTGTATAATAACCAATGAATACCTTTTACTTTGGTGCCCAATTACAGGCTCCATTTGAAAGCAGCAAAATGAGAAGTCTTTTTCCCAATAATTGAGACTTTTTTTGCTGACAGACTAGCATATCTCTTCTCACATTACTCTGAATCAGTGAGGTTTTACTGTAAATCAAAGTGGAAACAGCAGGTGTCTATGTCCAGCCAACCTGACCTTGCAGAATGGTCCATGACTTGATTTTTTCCATTTAATTTGCAAACCAGCCACATGTTGATAAAGGAGAAGTAAGTAAAATGAAATCTCATGAAAGAAGAGAGGTGGAACCCTGTTCTGCCTCCCAGTGGCTGTTAGAATAACCCCAAATAACTAATAGATCACAGAAGAGCTTGGCCATTGAACAAACTCTTTCATTTACGGAATTATTTCCATGATCATCTTTCATGTTTCCAAATGCCTTCCCATCTTTTTTCAGTGAATGCTCCGGAAAGTGTTTCCAGTGTAAATACTTTACGGCATTGGGTGGGGAGGTGGGGGGACAATAAGGGGCTGGCAATTTGTTTTTGTTTTCCTGCTCTCTTTGAAACTGGCATAAAGGGCCTGTTGACACCACCACTCATTCTGCATGCTCCCTGCGAGAAACAATTAGTCAACATGCATGCATGCCTTTGAATTGCATTCACATCTGGCCTAGTCTGATGTGAATGTTGCCCCTGAGACCCTGCACAATGATTTCCAAGGACCCACGTGCATGAAAATGAGTTACTTCACTGATATTTTTTGGTTTTCAATGTACATTACGTGTCCAACCGCCCCAAGAAAGTAAGTCCTAATCTTATTGAGTGCTTCCTAGCCTAAGCCTGATTTTCCTATAGACAGGATGAAAAACCAGAGGCTCCCTGCTTAAAGAGATTTTGACTCAAAAGTTTTGTGACAATTACAACAATGGTTTCCTGTGCCTTGGTATGAAATAGGAGTAACATTTCTGATGTATAGGGGAACATGAGCTTGTACAAGACCACAGCTAACTAAGCCCCAGATGTGTAGATATAAGTGAACAATAATGCAAATTTTCAAGTTAGACCAGCAGAAAACCCATAAACACAGTGAAGAAACTCCCAAATTCTAGTATCTTAGAGCAAGAACTAGCCAACAACAGGATAAAGAGCATGACTTAAACTTACTGGGTTATTGTAAATTGAACAGAAGTTGTTCCATGTCTGCTATTCCTACAGCTGCAGCGTCTGACCAGCAGGTCAGAGCAAAGTCTCTCTAGGCAGGCCTGGAATCATTAAAAACATTGCCTTGGTACTCTTAGAGGCCTTGTAGTACGAAAAATGCTGTTCTCTTTACAATAAAATGACCAAATCCTGCTGGATGCACACTTAATCTTGAAGAGTGAGGGCTTGTCTTCACATCGTAAGCCAGAGAGCGAAGCTCATTGCCTCTTTGTCTGTTGTTTTTCTGCCAAATTTCAAAGGCCTTTGCGTGGTGGTCAGACTTGATGGTGGAGCATGCCGAGACGTTCCTGTCACTCTTTGCAGTGGACATGGATGCAGCGTTAGAAGTGCAGCCCCCAGACACATGGGACAGTTTTCCACTGTTTCAGCTGCTGAATGATTTTCTCCGTACCGATTGTATGTATTATCTCTGACTGTTTGACTTTCCTAGATTGTGGCA